GGCATAGTAATGTGATAAATGGAGCCTATCCGATTGCTGTGTTATTTCGAAGTTAGTATGGATGAAACTTCTTATAGTAATTATTTCTATTATACTTGCGAATTATGTTTATTTGTAAAGTGTATACAATATTATAGCTTAGTAAAATCTATAAGATCCAGCCTGTGACAAGCCAAGCCAGTAAACCTTTACTACCTACCTTAGTTGCGAAACTAGATAAATATATACTAAAATTGGCAGCACTGAGATATTGAACCCTGTGCCGCTGTTTGGCAAAGGGCGCTTCAAGTTGCTATAGCTTAGTTATGTACTTAATCTTATGTATCCGTAACTACTCTGTAACTAGTAGGTAAGGCACTAAGTTGTCATTTTCCACGTCGAAAGTCACAAAATGATGCAGATCGCTGACAAGGATAGCTTAGGTAGATGACCAAAGCTCTAAAGAAACAAGGAAGATGAGATAAAGCCAGCCTGGTTACGGAGTACGGAGTGGATAAGGTAGGTGCAGTTGGTATGTACTGAGCTCAGTAGACAGCACAGACCACCGAGAGCACCTCAGAACAGAAAGAAAGAAAGAACTGCCTGGAAAGCCAGGCAGAAACGGCGTTCTAGCTTAACGACGCGCCAATGCCAACCACTTTGATCGCGGTCTAGATTCCAACGACGCGTCAAATCGCATCAAAGTGGCACGCATTCCTACAGGTCGCATACTTTGTCAAGACTGCACAGTCCATTGCAGTAAAGCCGTCTTTGACTTTTCGCATGTCGCGCAGGAGCGCCCGCGCAGATAAACATGTATATCAAGCAAATCATCATCCAGGGCTTTAAAAGGTATGTGCATTGGCATCATTGCTACCCTCGCATTCATCCAACAGTCCGGTTCATTGCTAATACTGCCATAGCTACAAGGACCAGACTGTAATCGAACCGTTCTCCCCAAAGACCAATGTAATTGTCGGTCGCAATGGCTCTGGAAAAAGCAACTTCTTCGCCGCTATTCGCTTCGTTTTGAGCGATGCGTATACACAAATGAGTCGCGAGGAGCGGCAAGGCCTCCTCCACGAGGGCTCAGGCTCAGCCGTTATGTCGGCATACGTGGAGATCATATTCGACAACAGCGACGACCGATTTCCAACTGGCAACAAAGAGGTTATTCTTCGCCGCACAATCGGCTTGAAGAAGGACGAATACTCTGTCGATCGAAAGGTTGTCACTAAGGCCGATGTCATGAATCTGCTTGAAGCGGCCGGATTTTCACGATCAAACCCCTACTACATCGTCCCTCAGGGACGAGTCACCGCCTTGACCAACATGAAAGAGTCCGATAGGCTGAACTTGCTAAAAGAAGTGGCGGGAACACATGTGTACGAAACGCGTCGCGCAGAGTCACTCAAGATCATGAACGAGACCAACAACAAGAGAGAAAAGATCGATGAACTGCTGGAATACATCAAGGAAAGGCTTAGCGAACTCGAGGAAGAAAAGGAAGAACTCAGAGCGTTTCAGGACAAGGACAGGGAGAGACGGTGCCTCGAATATGCCTACTACCACAACATCCAGCTCGGGATTCAAGCAAACTTGGACGAACTTGATAACGCCCGGCAAGACGGAATTGATAGTTCTGATACCAACCGAACAGAGTACGCCGAGGGCGAGAAGGCGATATCAAGGCTTGATTCAGAAATACACAAGCTGCAGAGAGAAATGGAGCTTCTGCAGATCGAAAGGCGACAAGTCGAGGAAGATCGGCGCGACGGCGCGAAAGCCTTGGCCAAGGCTGAGATGAAGGTCAAGAACTTGAGAGAAGGCCAATCTGCACAGGAACAAGCCCGAGGACAACATGCAGCTGAACTTGAGTCCGTTCAAAATGAGATTGCATCCAAGGAGCAGCAGCTTTCAACCATTAATCCGGCCTATAACCAAAAAAAGCAGGAGGAAGACGAAATCCGACGACAACTTGATCATGCTGAAGCCACACGTAACCGCTTGTTTGCCAAACAGGGCCGAGGCTCGCAGTTCAGAAACAAGTCCGAGCGTGATGCATGGTTGAGGAAAGAGATACAAGAACTCGAACTAAACATAAGCACGCAAAAGGCCAACAAGATTGATGCAGACGAAGAAGTTGAAAGGGTCCAACAATCTATAGCACAGGCAGAGCAAGACGTTGCTGACTTGCGGAACCGTCTGGCCAACTTTCCCGACGAGAGAATAGCCCTCGAAGAGGAGGCTACCAAGGCCCGCGACATCATAGACAAGCTTAACGATGAACGAAAGCTTGTTCGTCGTGAGGATGACAAACTTAACTCACTTATAGCCAATGCTCGGCAGGAGAAGGAGACAGCTGAACGTGAGTTGGCTCACGCAATGGATGGATCGACTGCACGTGGTCTGGCGACGATCCGACGATTGAAGCAAGAGCGAGATATCCCCGGAGCATATGGGACATTGGCTGAGCTGCTTGAAGTTAGTGACGCTTACAGGCTTCCCGTTGAGCAGATTGCCGGCGCAAGTCTGTTTCACTATGTCGTGAACAACGCAGATACAGCCACTTATCTTGCAGACACCCTATACAGACAACAGGGAGGTCGAGTTACATTTATGCCTCTCGCCCAACTACGGCCCCGACAAATTAAGCTTCCCAGGTCTAATGATGCCGTACCTCTCTTAAGCAAGATCAATTATAACGAAGAGTACGAGAAGGCGTTCCAGCAGGTCTTTGGAAAAGCTGTCGTATGTCCAAACCTTACAGTAGCAAGCCAATATGCAAGAAGCCATGGCGTCGACGGCATCACTCCAGAAGGTGACACAACCAACAAGAGGGGTGCCATGACAGGCGGGTATATTGACCCTCGAAAGTCGCGCTTACATGCCGTGCAAGCCGTGAATAAGTGGAGGGATGAATATGAAAGGTTGTTAGCGCAATCTCGTGATATCCGAAAGCAGACAGAACTCAAGGATCAGGAGATCACAGCTGCGATGTCAGACCTGCAAAAGGCTAACGAAAGACTACGACAAGCTGTTCATGGGGTTGAGCCATTGAACCATGAACTGTTTAATAAGCTGAAGCATCTGAACAAAGAGCAGAGCCACCTCGAGGCCGCCAAGAAACGTCGAGATGCAGTCGAGAAGAACATGAACAGCTTCTTGGAGGATCTTGCCGCACATAAGGCCGAGCTAGGATCTGACTTTAAGAAAACCCTGACCGCTGCTGAAGAACGCCAGCTGGAGGAACTCGGGACAAGCACCCAGGAGCTCCAAAAGCAGTGGAATGAACTCAGCCGAGCCCGGCGTGATTTGGAAAGGCAAAAGCAACTTCTTGAAGTGGACCTTAGCCAAAACCTGCAGATGAAGCTTGACCAACTCAATAGCCAGGCTTTTGAAGACTCGACTGGATCCTCGGGTGGTGGACTGAAAGATGCCCAAAGGGAACTCAAGAAGGCGCAAAAAGCACAGAAAGCTGTTGAGGCAAGCCTCGAGGAACTTGAAACCAAAATGGATAATACGCAAGCGCGGCTCGAGGAACTGGCAAATGAGAAGGCTCAACTAGAGCAAGCGCTGAGTGAGATATCCGCGAGGATCGAGAAACAGCAGAAGAAGATGGATAAGAGTCTCCGAAAGAAAGCTGTTCTGTCAACACAAGCGGCCGAATGTGCACAGACTATTCGCGACCTAGGTGTGCTTCCCGAAGAAGCCTTCGACAAGTATGAAAACATGGACCCTAACCAGGTAAATTTTGTACCAATCAACCCCGATGAGAAGTGACTAACGTGTTGGCAGGTCTCAACCAAGATCAAGAAAGTGAATGAAGCACTGAAGAGGTATAAGCACGTGAACAAGAAAGCCTTCGAACAGTACAACAACTTCACGACTCAACAAGATCAGCTTATGAAACGTCGTAAAGAGTTGGATGACTCTCAGGAGTCAATTGAGGAACTCGTTGAGCATCTCGACCGCCGGAAAGACGAGGCAATTGAGCGGACGTTTAAACAGGTTTCCAAGGAATTCACAACTATCTTTGGCAAGTTGGTGCCCGCCGGCCATGGCCGCCTCCTCATTCAACGACGGGTGGATCGTCGTCAAGAACCCGCCGATGAATCAGACGGAGAGGCACGCGGTGTTGAAAACTACACTGGCGTTGGCATCAGTGTGTCATTCAACTCAAAACACCTCGATGAGCAGCAGAAGATCCAGCAACTCAGTGGTGGTCAGAAGAGTAAGACATATTAATTATTCCCTTTGAGTGTCCAGCTATTAACAGAAGCAGGTTTATGTGCCCTTTGCCTTATATTCGCCCTCCAGGCTACTGAGAGCAGCCCCATGGTGATTTTTGACGAGGTGGATGCCAATCTTGATGCCCAATATCGTACAGCTGTTGCGGCCCTCCTTGAGTCCATCTCTAAGGAAATTGGTACTCAGTTCATTTGCACCACGTTCCGACCTGAGATTGTGCATGTCGCCGACAGATGTTATGGTGTGACGTTCCGTGCCAAGACAAGTTCCATCGACTGTGTCAGCACGGAGCAGGCTCTTGAGTTCGTAGAGGGTCAAGCGAAGCCTACTTGAGAGGATGCAAATGGGGAACTGTAATCAAGGGGCTTGTAAAGACTATTATACCTGGGGACGATGGAATGGCGTTGGGCGGCTTAAGATTTATCCCTTATGCGATTACGATCAAGCTGAGACTTTCTGGGCTGTTGTTAGATGGAACGAAATTAGGCGTGAAGCCTTAACCAATCCCAACGAGACGACTCATAAGCTTCTTGAGTCCCAGGATCCCCCCCATATGAACATTTTCAGTGGCTGCATGAATGATGGATCGCTCTTTGACCTACTCTTATGGTAGGTATCCTGGCCTGACACAAGGTTATCGCAGCTTAGAACAAATGTGCAGGAAGAAACCCAAGTGACATGTTTTGACGTGTTGATTCTTGTGTACAGCAAGTATACATGATATTATACACGCAGCATCGTCACTGCCAGTTCTACCCAACCTCTACTAGTTACCGATCAGTCATCATGTTTCGTACGCCCTTCCAGTAATCCTTTGGCAATTCCTTTTCCAGCTCCTCACGAGTCAGCCACTTAAACTCGGTGTAGCCAAAGGGGTTGTCCTTAAGATCAGCCTGACCAGCCATTATCCTGCCCTTGATGAAGAAAGTCTTCTCACCCTTCTTCTCAACGACGCCGTCGGCAGTCGTTTTGGGTCGCGAGACGACATGGGCGACTGGCACGCGGCTGACAATCCATGTGTTCATATTGACACCAGCAGCCTGTTCGAGGACTCTCTTGGCGGACTATTGAAATATTTAGCACTATCCAACAACCCTATTCGAACGTGGCTTACCTCATGAAGATTTTCATCCTTAGGAATCACATCAGCAGGGAAGCCCCAACCGTCCTTACCCTTGACCACAAGATACAGGGTTCGATCAAGTTGACGGTCCAGTCTTTGAACATCACCCTTACGATCTGCTTCGGTCACACGATCCGCAGGAGGCTCAACAGGGGTGACATCCTCAGGAGCAATAACCTCAGCATCATCACTGACACGTGCCTCAGCATCCCTGAGCAAGGACTTGATAATAGTCTCCTGGTTGCTAAGCTCATCGCCAACCTTAAGTTCATCATCCCACGCCTTGGAACTCTTTCCATTGTAGACACCCAGCTCCTTGGCCACTGTGCCCTTGCGCTCTTGGACCTTGATGTTCCAGTCTAGACGGCGAGCGGTATCAGGTTTGAAGTAAATACCCGTGATAAAAGGGGTGTTGAGACGTTCTTCAAGACGTTTTTGGTAGAAAAAGAAAGCATTTTCAAAAGGATGGAGTTTCCGTGTTACCAGAGGCGGTCGCGTGAGAATAACACCAGAGCGAACGTCGTAGGGCGGCGGAGAGCTAGTAGGTGCAGGAGTAGAGGTATCGGTGGGGGTTTTCGCTACGGCTGTGGCGAGAGATGAGTAGAGCCGTGCTGGGTATCTAGATATAGAAGAAGAGGAAGCACAGCGTGCGCACATATTAGGAGAAGCTGAGATGTTTTCTGTTAGTTACATGAGTCTTGTAGTGGGTTTGAAGACGATCAATTGTTGAGCATAGAGCAGGACAGAAGGAGGGAAGTGTATGGACTCACTAGATAGCACAGCCTGGGCGGCTTTGGGACCCCGGCTTGAAGTTATCATGCTGTCTATCTTCGCTCCGTGGGTTGTGACTCCCGAACGTTGCGATTGGGTGATCGAAGCTGGATGGTTATATTCAACAGCAACTTCACGAACTTTTCGCCTGAGCCTGGACGGTACGTACCGCGGAACGACAGGCCCGACTTACGTTGGTGGAGGGGGCCCTAGTCAGAGTCAATGAAATATTCGCGCCTGAGGCAACAAGACATACATCATTAAAACTAAATGCCCAGCATCTGTCTCCTCTTCTTCTTTCTTTTCCTCTCAAGGCACCATTTCCTTATCGTCAAGACCTGTTTCCACCTCCAGAACGTCTCGATCATTTACGTGTGCCGAGAAGAAATCCGCAGTCTTTTTCGCTAGCGGGGCCTGCAAGAAAATTCTTTATCCTACCGGGTTCTGTTAGATAGATACTGCTGACATTTCATGTCATATTAACATGATTTGATAGCCGACTAAAAACACCACTCTTAACGGAGTTATTTCAATCACTTGTAACTATGCTATTAGAAGCAAACGTCGCACATGCGGTAGGCTTTGGATCCAAGGCGATCACGCTGTCAGCTAAAGGTGAACATTCTCGATGACATTGACAAAACAACAAGTGGCATACGCCAATGAGAAGGTCGCATTAGAACATGAGACTACCTAGTGACATAAGAGCCATATGCAAACATGACCCAAACTTATGATATCTGTACACATATCGAACTCGCGTTGATACCCGATCTCAACTCCGTTGTGACACCACGCTATCAAAATGCAATGAATCATGCCCGCCTTTCGAAAGATGCTGGGTATCAAACCACATGGATCCCCTTGATGATGCCTGAACGCCTGCTTAACTCTTGTTTCCCGCCTTGATTCATTCTATCATTAAGCTAAGCAGACAATTCTGCAACTGCTTGAGCAACTTCCTTAGTTGCTCTGTTTTCCCATTGCCGTCGGGCTTCATCGGTCAAAGATGCCGCGCCTTTCACCTCGTCATAAAGCTTTCTTGAAATGTCCCTGTTGATAACCGAGTATTGTTCCGTTGTTAGTTTTCTAGACCGCCAGTGTGGTCGTAATGCGCCCTTGACAATCTCATTTATGCTGATTTTATCTTCCTGGGTGATGTTGGAGTCTGCTGATGGTTGTTCCTCTTTTTGAGCTGGTACCTCAGATGGACGGCGTGGCCGTGGTTGTCGTAGTTCTAACGGTCGGCTTTCTGGGACCTTCACCAAGCGCGTCTCTGAATCGGACTGGCCATTGCTTATATGAGTCGGGGAATAGTTTGCATGGGGTCTGGTTGAACGCGTCTCTGAATCGCCGTGGTCACGATTTGAACGAGTCGGTGAATAATTCGCGGGGGCGTAACGAGGTTGAATAGTACTGCTGAGCGAGAGTGTTGGTGAAGTTGGTCGGCCGTTGAAGTTTGGCATAGGGGGAGGGGTAAGAGAAAGAGCCCGTGGGCTACTGTAATTTGATGGGGACGGAGATATTGCTGGGGAGAGGGCTGGGGATGAAGCCTCTGGTGCATGCCGCCACCCATTAGTAGTCATTGTCTCGTCCTCAGACATGATGCTAGGCTCAAGTTCTTTCAGTAGTGATGAAACCAAGGGAGGATCGATACTGCTATGATCGACAATGCCGTTTCTAGATGACGATCCATTGGGAACACCTCGTGTTGACGAGGGCCCAGCCGGCGCTGGAGAAGATACAGAGCTTGAACCTTCACCATTTTGGGTGGGCAAGCGACGTGTTCGAGGGCGCTTAAGCTTCCTTTCCGGCTCTTGAACGGGATCGCGAGGAGACGCAGTCACAGACCGTGCTTTGCGCTTGCGAGAAGTGGTGCTGGGTTCATCCGTTTCGCGAGCGCGTTCCAAAGCGCCCCAAGCTCGTCTTTCGTCAGCCGTTTCTTGTACTGGCTCTGGTGCTGACTGAAGCCGTTCGCTAATAGCAGAAGGTATGTTGTTTATAAATACGTCACGAGCGCCCAGGCGACGGGCAATATCCATTCTTTGCTGCCAGCGTTCGAGTTCGCGTCGCCCAAGTTCCTGGAATCTCCTGTACTGCTCTAATTCCTCATCTTCGTCATCGTGGTTGTCCAAATCCAAGTCGCTCATCTCGTAGAACCGCCCTGAAAACTGGCCCCAGGCGCCTTGCCACTCAACATTTCGAGCTTGTCGACGGGCTCGCCTTAGTCGTGCTCGAGTTCGTACATGGTAACCACGAACATTTCGGGGGTTCGGACGTCGCACGTATGATGGACGAGGAGATTGTTCGCCAGATTCAGTGGTCCTTGGCTCTTCCACCAGTTGAAAAAGGTGAGAGCACTCCATACAATACCAATCGCCGTCTGGAATGGCCTCAAGACCAATACAATGCGTATGGTAGGCTGCATCGCAGCTATCGCACAGGAGAAGAACATCCTCCCTCTCTGAAGAGTTGCAAATAGGACATGGGTTGCCTTGCTCTTCCTCCTCTTCGTCTTCGGGGTTTTCGCCAAGCCACTGTCTTACATCGAATTCAGCAACCTGTTTTTTATCTTGGACATCGTATTTCGAAATTGCGGTACCTGCAGAAAAGAAAGGGTTAGTGGATGGACATATGTGAGTAGGATAAGCTTGTAACATACCATCGACCCCGTTGTACACTCGAACTGAATGGAAGGGATTACGACAAATGGGACATGTGTTTGTCTTTTGCGCCCAGGAACGAATACATGCATCATGAATAATGTGATTACACCCGTCAAGTGACGCAACTATGTTCAGATAATTGGAGTCGTTCTCAAGAACATCTGAGGCTGTGGAGGTTGTGGTAGGAACAGGCGCGGGCTCGGGTGCGGATGCGGGCTCGCCGCCAGAAACACCACCAGCAGCATCACTCGCAGCTACAGTGAGGGCAGCTGGAGCTTGGAGGGCAGCCGAGGGACGGGGCAGAGGATCCAGGCATATAATGCACTGCTCCGCTTCAGACATGATGTCGAAATTGATAACACAGATCGTATCTTGATGAAAACATGTAAAATAAGATCGAGTGAACTAAAGTCGATTCGAGCCGTCGATTCGAGCAGGCGGTGATGGTGGTAAAAGGGAATGGGATGGGATGGGATGGATGGAGAGGTACCGTCGTGATCGATTAGGCGGGATGGCTCGTTTTTGGGGGGGCAAAGTACAGTAACTTAGCAGGTTGGCTTAGGTTGACACCCGAATGGTGATGCATTAGTGGACAGGAGCCCTGCAGGCAAAGGCAGAAGAAAATAAGAGAAAGAGATCCAGCTGCAGTGGAATGGGTGTTTTCAAGGAACCTAGGAGCCTGGTAGGGACGTGATCGGGGCCAATGAGCGCTCCCCCCGTCCTGGATCAGTGCCACGCCTGGAAGAAATAAATGTTAGGTTATTATGTGCCTGCAGAGCAAAACAAATGCACGCGGGGAGAGACCCTGATGACGGATGACTCTTGGTTGCGTTAGGCTTGATTATTACCGGTACCGTGCCTCAAGGTACATACGCATTTTGAACACTGGCGCATTAGAACGCACAAGGTTATCAGGGAGTAAGGTAGGTAGGTAGACAATTCTCAGTACCTAGCTAGGTACTTTCTGTGTAGGCCCTTTCTATCCCATTTATGCAGAACATCACGCCTTCTAACCTTCGACTTCCCCTCATTGTTTCCCGAGTCCCGGACTCGATACCGTCCGTCCTTGGTCATTCGGCGCAGCAAATGGTGTCTTTTCTTTTTTGCTACAAGCCGGCGCGCGACTGACTGTCGGCGCATGGTCCTAAGTTAGGTACCTAGTTCTATTTACATGGGACAGGGGTAGGTATGCACAAGACCGTAGTCGGTCAGCAACCGCTATCAGACATACTATTTTAACAAATCAATGTTGAAGAAGGCAGCTCATATTATCAATTAAAAAGAAAAAGTGAGGGCTGCTTTGCTTGCAGCTAAGTATAGCGACCGAGGGACACTGTGTTTCTGTTTGAAGTTGAGTTTGAACGCATGCCAAGATACAGCGGAGCTTGAGTCAATATTAAGAGTGGAAGAACCGACGTGAATTTCGACGAAGTAACTACCTACTCCGTAGAAGCTGAACCTTAACGAGAGAGAACGGATCGCAGGAAGGAGCCAGACTCTTCTATACAAACCGACCAGAGGAGAACTTGCCGTGCCCTCCTGGCACACTGGTAGATACAGAATACCTAAGGTAGTGCTTTAGACTAGTAGGTAGGAAGATTCAAGGGTGACTGCGCAATAACACAACACATCTAATGGGCGAAAGATACGTATCTATAGATACTGTCGAGGATGACAGTAGCTGGGCCACAATTGGAGACCAAAACCGGTACGGCAGGCACCCAAATTTAGTGCAATACAGAAACCCAGAAAGCTATAGTGCAAACTTGCCATAGCTCACGAAGTCCGAACCCATCTCGCAGGTCAAACTTTACTGTCAGATCTCGTAGCAAGACACTGTCCATGTTGAGTATTTACGAATTCCACTTGGCATACTGGCCCCCACAATACGTTTTGCTTAGCTGCTTCCAAAATGTCCCAGTGTATTATTAGCCAGCCGTGTTATATCGCTGAAAACCGCATGAATCATATTTCTGCTCGTAACAACATGTGTCTCTTGCCAACCATGTTTTGTTGAGAGTTGAGAAGCTCAGACTACAGAAAATAATGGCCCAATCAAGGCCGTACGAGGTTTAATAGGGTTTAAATAACTAGGCGGATCCGAGGCGAGAAGAGATCTCGCAGCTCATGTCCCTCGAGGCAAATCGGCTCAGGCATGAATGTTGTCGAAATCGGCTCTGATTACTTCAGAAAGAATAGTTGTGAGCCCCACTGTACGCAGAGGAGAGTGAGTAAGGACCTGCTGCGGCGTAAGATACGGTCCTGATATGGAGCTCATGACGTAGACACTTGAGGGCTGGCCAAGAGGAACGTTAAAATATTGGCATAGGACCTGTTCGTATCGTTCGTTCCAGTTTCTGGGCGATAGTAGAAACCTGCGATGGCTGAAAGATGGCAATAGTTCTGTTAATTTATACTTGCACAGGGCGGTAGAGTTGTTGAAAGGGTCCGAAGCCTGCAATTCTTTTTTGTTCATTGCTAATCGATCGGCTTCTATGTGATCGAAGATCGGGTGTTGACGTCCAGATCGTCAACTCGTAGTGTAGGCACGAAATCCATATCCCCCGTAAACCATACCGAAAAGCAAAGCCGTTTTCTCCTTCCGCTAGAGTCCATCCTTAAACCTCAGCAATCTCTCGGAGACGTCGCAGAGTCGATCGCATGGCGGCGGCAGCAGGTGTGCTATTCTTGGTTAGTGGTCCATCCTGATATGCATCATTCGATAGAGTTGGGAGAACGAACGCAACGGTGTAAGCACCACCAGCAACGGTGCGCTTGCAAGACTTGCAATCCCAGATGCCGGTAGCCTGTCGCTTGACGGTGACCTTTCCGCAGAAAGTGCAGGTGTACTTGGCGTGCTGGGTGACTTCCATCTTCTTGACCTGCTTTCGCAGGGAAGCACCGTAACTAGAGACCATGATGTTAGTTTCGGCCGTATCAATATACCCAGTCGTTACATATCCAGGCTCCCATCCTGCCTCGTGCCGCCCTTGGCCTGCTCGTTGAACTTCCAATCTGTATCTGTGGCCTAGCTTGTGCGAACCCTAGTCCACCGCCTGCCCTTGAAACAGTTTTCGGGGCCTTCAAGAGAGCCACGGGCAGCGGAGGGGTCGTTACGGAAGAGAGCAGGGGAATCGGGGTCGATATGCTTCGAATTTGGGAATTTCGTCGTGAAACTTACCGGGTACCGTATTTACCGCTGCGAACCTGTTAGCTATCATTGCTCTGATGCTGAGGTGAAGGACAATACATACGTAACGCCGACCTTCTTTGTTCGCTTGGTCATCTTGAAGGATATGTGTCGGGCGTCTTGGAAGGAATAAAGACGGCGGAGGTGAATGTTGCTCGACTGTTGGAGACTGACACTGAATGTTGCAGAGGAAAGAACTTGTGGTCCTTAGGGCAAGCCCATTCAGGAAGCGAGTGGGTCCCACTTTCTTGAATTTTTTCGATGCACGGCCGGAAGAACCTCGGCTAACTGAGATGGCTCACGTGCTTTGATCCGGCGGCACTGGAAATATTGTTCGAGCATGACTCGTGATCTCTTTAGTTTGAAGACATCTCTTTGAGGTAGGCCTCGGGGGGGCAAGAAAACCCCAGCCTGAATTTAGGGTATCAAAAATAAACTTAGTAAAGGATATCCTAAATCTAGCAAAGTTAATCTAAATTTATCCTAAGTTACCCAAGTCTTTTTGTCATTTAGGATCAAGGTCCTGAGTTTTCTTTCCTCCCCTAGGTAGGTACTAGGGGCCGTCAATGTTCAAGGTGGAAAGAAACTTTCTATAAATTTCTTTGTCAGTTAGATTGAAGGGCATATGCTTTGACGACGGAGTGAAGCTCTGTTGCTACACTTCCTCGCTCAAGTTCAAATTCTATCATGTCGATTTAGCCCATGTGAAGACATTATCAAATTTCATTCGTTCATCAGGACCAAGCTTTGTTGATGAGTGCCACCTTATGGAGATAAGATCCTATGTCAGTACCAGACCCAGAATGAACGTTCTGTGCACCTACAAGGGTGCCTGACCCCTGGGCACCGCCAAACTGATCGTCCCTCGGCATCATGATACCAAAGACAGTAACCCCAACTTGACCGTCTCAAACGCAGTCCTCCACAGTACCTCGTCTTTATCGGCTCGCATTGCCTATACGAAATATTGGTTCTTGTCTACTTTCAATTAACCCTAATACCAAGTCTTATTTAATTCCTTCCCGAACCAATTGCCGATTGAAAATGCCCCTTGTCAAGGATCATGACCGTCAATACGACATGGTTGTCCTTGGGGCAACTGGTGAGTCCTTACTTCTAGTTGGGCCCTTAAGCAAGGCTATGGCTGAATTTTGACTGTATTCAAGGTTACACGGGAAAATTGACGGCTGAATATATCTCAATGCATCTTGCAACTGACCTCAAATGGGCGGTGGCTGGCCGAAACAATGGCAAGCTAAAGGCTGTGGTTGAAGAGTGCCAGAAGCTCAACCCTGATCGACTGCCACCAGGTACCGCCCAACAATATTCCTTGTTGATCCTTTATAGTCTACAGGCTGATTATTACAATTAGCCATCGAGGTCGTAAACCTGAACGACGCCGACTTGAGTGTTCTGGCAAAGAAGACGTGTATTATCGTAACCACTATTGGTCCATATAGCCTGTACGGTGAACATGCTTACAAGGCTTGTGCCGAGGCCGGAACCCACTACGTAGATGTCACCGGCGAAGCTGCTTGGGTTCATAAGATGATTAAGAAATATGAAGCAACTGCTAAGCAGACAGGTGCTATCTTGATTCCACAAGCTGGAATCGAGTCCGCTCCCGCTGATCTCATCACATGGACCATGGCCAAGGCCATTCGTACCGATTTAGGCTCTCAGACGAGAGATGTGGTCGTTTCCCTCCACAAAATCAAGTGAGTACAGCTCTTGAACAAGAAAGCATCGTTCAAACAACTAACTGAGTCATAGCTCGGCACCATCCGGTGGCACACTCGCTACCGCCTTGAGTATCTGGGATGTCTTCTCACTTCAGGAGATCAAGGATGCTAGTAGCCCGTATGCCCAGTCACCTGTCAAACATAAGGATCCAAAACGGCCCAAGAGCTCCATTCTCCAGATGATTTTTGGCGTTCGCACCGTACCAAATCTTGGACTCCAGACCACGTCGGTCACGAATTCAACTGATGTTGCAGTTGTTGAACGTACTTGGGGTCTCCTCTCCAGTACGCCCTCCCGCAAAGATGAGTTTTATGGTCCCAATTTCGTTTGGGTAGAACATATGAAAGCCCGCAACTGGCTCCATGGGATCTTTATTCATTGGCTTCTTATTGTGGGTGGGGTCCTACTCGTATCAGTTGCCCCGTTGAGGAACTTCCTCAAAAAGCGTGTATATCAGCCTGGGGAAGGTGCTAAACGTGAGGACACGGCCAAAGATGAAATTGAGTATCGCGGCATCGCATATCCTGATTCGGAGAAGGCCGCAGGCAAAGCAGCTCTCTGCCGTATGTGGTATCATGGTGGCATGTACTTCTGTAAGTTTCAAAAGCCGAAAGGTGAACTCTTACTGACCGTTGTGCCGACAGTGACAGGAATGCTCCTTGCTGAGATTGCCGCAACAATTCTTGAAGACGACATTGAGCTTGATGGCGGATCTTATACACCAGCGTGCCTAGGCCAAGGTTTAGTTGACCGCTTGGACAAGTCTGGATTCAGGACAGATGTCAAGATTATTGATGCTTGAGCCTAATTAGCAAAGCAAAGACAAGACATTTGCATATGATGGAGCAGCAATGACACCACAGGGCTACATCACTTTCATGCAGACGAAGATCATTTGACCTGAAGCCAATAAGGGAAATCATCTCCTTGACTGATATTTTATCTCCTAGATAAATATGTTGCCAACCCGCAGTTTCATGCTCTTACGTCGCAGGCCCTTCATTTTTACATTACCTAGGCCTGCTCTCGGTTAGGCATTGAGTGCTATTCACTGGCAGAAGCTTAATCATACAGGAATTCGACCCTAGTTAATTCTTAGATAGAACGTTTTTTTTTATAGATGAAGCTTCATGGCTACTATTGACTTCAATGTTTGTCACTGATATTTGTGTCGTCAAAATGCCATGTGATCTTGCTTCTTATGTACAAGAAACCTCGGAAGCTCGATCTGAGGCGACAAAAATACCTTCGTAGACTAAGGATTTCTAAGTATAATGTTAGTGAATTCTTGAACCAGTTTTCCTCCTCTTATGCACAGTCAGTTTCTAGTCTTTTGACGTCCAAAAGCTTAGATTATATTAAGATGCACTACTAGAAAGAATTACATGAGGTAGTATGCCCTCACCAGAAATGCAAAAATGCCCCACAAAGAGCTTCTAAGCGTGGTGGATCATTAGGTAGGTTGCTCTTCGCGTCAGGTCGCGGAAGTTTGGCAGACGTCATTAGCACAGTAACATCAACCCCGGGAAAGTTCTTCACCTCAACACCACAAGCGCAATCCATCCTTCATCGTTCAATTCGACCACACTCTTGGTATCATTTCAATTGATCTTTACGGTCCTTAGCGAAGTGGTGCGCAGTGCCAGTGGCTCACCTGCGCCCTCAAAGATTCGAATCTACTTATCGTCCCGACTCCATCATTTCAACCTTGACTGGCTTAAACCGAAATGGATCCCCATAGCATCTCATCAGACGCTGTGCTTAATGAGTCGTCGCCATTACTCCCTACCACAGAGAACAGACCCAAAGGAACACGATCAGTTACCTTCAGCGATAACCCTGTTACAAAAACCTTTGAACCTACTCGTCAACAATTTCAACATCGATCCCCCGGCCATCATGCCGCTGGCTCTGTCAGCGGCGCCGCCGGCGGCCCTCCCATGCTCGCAGCTTTGAACAATAAGCTCAGGAGACGGAACAGCCAAGGGTCGGTACCTGCAGTTGCTAATCTATCTTTTGGGCCCAAAATTGGACCTCAACGCAGTACAAAAAAGACGGAAAAGCTGAAGCTGCTTCCCAACACCGACCTGAACGACCCTGAGGATGAGGAGAGTGGTAGAGATGTCTACTCTCAGTACACACGTATCAAGGATCCTGCTGCGCGGAGAGACGCCGCGAAACTAGGAAAAGCGGATCGAGACCGACTGCCGCGTGTCACGGCATATTGCACTGCAAACCGATACGAGATGGAAGCCCTGATGAGATTTCTAAAGGGACGAGGAAAAACCCGAGGCGCAAACCCCAAGCTCATCGACGAATGCATATATACGCCATATAATTATACCTCGAAAAACGCGCGCAGTCGCGATCCAGTTCAGAACTATGAACGCCGGCATTCCACTGGAGGTGACGCCATTGATGTCGCGCAACAGCGAAGCGACTTAGCTGACTTACCTTTAGAAGAGGCCGGTTCAGAGGCTCATGGTCACAATGGCCACGCCCATAACGATGCTAACAGTAACGGTAATGGCTCCCACATTGACAGCGCAGATCTGCTGGGCTCGGCAGTAGAAGATCACGACTCGATAAGCGAGACCAATCCCGATTTTGATACGCAGGTGCATACGCCCGAGGTGTTTCTCTTTGATTATGGAGTGGTTGTCATCTGGGGAATGACCGAGGCTCAAGAAGCTCGGTTCCTGAAAGAGATCGCCAAGTTTGAGACAGAGAAGCTTGCCCCAGACGATGTCGAGACTGAGTTGTTCAACTTTTACTACACAAAGGATTATCAGGCCCGTATCTATAATGACTTTATCACTCTCCGTGACAAGAACAACTACATGACGAAATTGGCTATTTCTCATGCACTGGCACAAAGTGTTAAAGTAAGCTAACCTGCTAATCAGGGTTGTATCCGGACGATTTGCTAACGGCTTGCAGACTTCACTCTTCGAAGAGCTGATTGCATCAACAGTTGATACATGCAAAGATATCCCTACACAAATAGCCACAACGGGGAAAATTGCACTTCGGCGATCACAGATCAACATGCAAATTGGGGAGCTTTTTATTCTTCGCATCAACATCCACCTTAACGGCTCGGTACTCGATACACCTGAGCTCTTCTGGGTAGAGCCTCAACTTGAACCCGTGTACCAAGCCGTAAGGAGTTATTTAGAGATGGATCAGCGCGTTGGACTTCTGACAGAACGCCTTGATGTCATAGCAGATTTGTTGGCTGTGCTAAAAGGAGAGCTCAGCCATGGCCATGACGAGAAGCTTGAATGGATCGGTATGCTAAGCGCCGTTCTATGAAACATACACTATGCTAACCAATTGCCAGTAATTGTTCT